TATTTGTATAAACTGTTTTTATTTCATTTTTTTTTTTTAATTATTGGTCTTTGACTATTAAGTTGTCTTGCCGTACTCTTGGCTAAACTGTTTGTGCTCTTCAGCTCATCGGTAGTTAAAATGAGCTTACATAATATTGGATCCTTGTTGTGTCTGTCTGCTTATTTTAACAGCGTTACATTAGTCGTCTTTTATCAGTATAAAAAAGAGTTTCAATATAGTTATTGTATCGTCCATTAGTCAGATACAAAACAGCCGATGATCAGGGCCGATTAAATCCTGTCAATCAAAACAGGGTCCAGAAAAATGTGTCTGACTGCAACTCATACTGTATGTGAAGAAAATGTCAAGTTAATGTAGTGCGCCTCTCATCCAATACTTCCAAAGAGCTTTGTTACTTTTGATACGACTCAGTCTCATCTTTCAAATTCTGTCCATTTTATTCTGAAATTAATAAATGGTGTTTTGACACTCTTAAATGTGACATAACAGATCGTTGTAGTGCCTCAGTTTAAGCGGCAGCCAGAGCACAAGACTTTTCTTCCACATTATTACAAATTATATCTCGAAGAACAGACATGCATTTAATGTATGAAGAACTTAACTGAAACCTTTCTCATATAATCCCTTCTTTCTTTCAACTGTGGAAATATGTCAATAAAACAGCTTGTGAACAATGTCACTTAATTTTGCATTTACCTCAGAAAAGTTATCCTATCTTCACAGTTCATTAGTTAGCTAAAAAAAACCCAGAGAGGACCTTATTTACTGTTAAATATATCTCCATGTTTGAATAAATTTCCCATGAAGACTAGTGCTTATGAAAACTGCTTATGTGCATCTGCTTTGCATACAAACATTTCACTTTTATTGGCGTGTAATTATATCTGAAAATAAATAGCAGTTGAATATAATGCCTCTGTTGTTAATTTTAAACTGTAATTTTATAGTGTACCAAATGAGATGGTTCCTTGTGTAGTTTGCAGCATTATTGTTTTTTTTCTTAAAGCTACACTGTGTAACTCTTAGTTTTTTCTTAGCTAAAAACACTTAGTTCTTTTAAAAAAATATATGCTCATTAATGTATATTTTAGGGCCGGGACTCGATTAAAAAAATAATCTGATTAATTAGAGGCTTTGTAATTAATTAATCGAAATTAATCGCATTTTAATTGCATAAATATTTGAACTGAGAAAAGCAAGAAGATTTTTTTCACATGGATTTTTAGTATACCATTGAATAATGACTGAATACATAAGCTTAAGCAACAAAATATTGTTTATTTTTGTTCAACCAAGTCCAGCAGAGACAAGTGCAATTGTATATGTTTTGCATTGAGGTGAAACTTGAGGGTCGATGTGATATGCGAATTCCTTGTTGCATAGCTTGCACACAACCATGCTCTTAATGACGCTTCCATCCGTTCGTTTTTATAACAAAATTTCCCATCCACGGGACCGACCAAAGTGGTCTCGTCAGCTTCTTCGTTCATGTTCACTGTGGTTTGTTATTTAGTTGTCTGAAGCATAGAGTGTAAAAAAAAGTCATGAACGCCAGTATAATCGGTCCGCTGAAACTAATCCACTGAGAAATGTTCCGCGGTGCAAAAATAAGTGCGATTAAAATGCGTTAATTTTTTGTGTAATTAATTAATGCGTTAAAGTCTGTAATTAATTACTTAATTAACGTGTTAAAGTCCCGGCTCTAGTATATTTACTTCGTTCAAGTAATAAAGTACTCTTGTGAGTGTATAATGTGCCATTGAAAATACATACGGGTAAGGGGTTCTAATGTCGGTCGCCATGTTGCCCTCCATCGAGGGGCAACACGAGGTTGAACTGGAAGCCATGTTAATCTTGGACTACATTGGCCACCGTAGGAGTTAAAATGAAATCGGAATGGGCTTTATGCCCAGCTGCACTACTTCCTGAACTTCAGCCAGCTCCGTGTTTCCTGTCTGCAATTATTGGCCAAATTGATTAATCCAGGTGTGCCTGACCTCAGTTGTCATGGCAACAATAATCAGACACACCTGAATTAATCAATTTGGCCAATAATGGCAGACAGGAAACAAGAAGCTGGCTGAAGTTCAGGAAGTAGTGCAGCTGGGCATAAAGCCCATTGAGAGCAACAGAAACTAATATTCACTGGATGGTCATATACCTTTTCACCGCTAGATGGGGGTAACAATCACACAGTGTAGCTTTAAGAAAAATCTAACTATTTGTATCTTTCATGCTCTCTATTTTCTTTTAGCAACAACTGGAGGAAGAGGCTGCAAAACCCCAGGAGCCAGAGCGCACCATCTCACCTCCACCCAGTGAAGCCAAACATCGCAGCCTTGTCCAGATCATCTATGATGAAAACAGGGTGAGAACAAAAACACACTTACTGCATCTTGTATACCGTGTGTGTGTGTGTGTCACACACACACATATATATATACACATTTAAAACAGTTTTTGTCCTAGGTACACTTAGTTTTTTCGGGTAGCTTTGTTGGTATGTTTCCATTTTTTGGGGTGAAATACTACGTGTGTGTGTGTGTGTGTCTGCGTGTGTTCCTCTGTTAGACAAGTACCCATATTTTAAACAAATGAATGTTGATGTTCAGGAAAAAAAAATCATCTTTGAACAGACACAGGTAAGTCAAACAGCTGTGACAGATCTTAACGAGAGAAATGAGCTGTTAAATGTGTAATGAGGTGCTGCAGTCAATTGGTGGTGAACTCAGCCCCTCCACCACCATATGACTCAGTCCATTATGCTGAATCACACCACCTCTCAAGCTCCAGAGACTCTCTCTAACAGAACCATTGGCTAATCTTAATTCTCACGCTGTGTACTAAAATTACTTTGCTGTTAAAAGCATAATACATACTTGTAAATTTGTATAAAGACAGAACACCAGAATTAGCATGTACCAGCTGTCATACATTTGTGTTTTGATGTGACAGACCCCCTCTGCTGCACATTAGCATTAGACTCTAGCTGGAAATTTAGACATTATTCCTTGCCTGTACTTGTCTACAGTAAGAAAGTCAAAACGGAACCTTTACAGAAAATAAAAATGGAAATAGCTGTCCATCTAGGCTCCTTTGAAATACTTTGAAGCGCTATGATTTGGAGTGCACTACTACTTAAGTTTATATATTAAATGCAATGTATTCTATGTAAATTAGGATGCTGTTGTGGAAAGTCATACAGTATAGAAAGTCTGTGGTGCTAGTGGTCCCTCTAGTGGGGAGAGACTAGAGAGTCTCAAACCAGGCTTATATATATTATATAAAATATTATTTGCATCTTGCGTTTTTATGAGAAATTGACTTCAAGTAATTTATGTTAAAAATTTTGTTATTAACAAATATGTTAGTAATGGAGTTTTGGCTGTGATAATCTGTTAACATATGATTATAAAAGCACAAAAAAGCATGAAGACAGTTATACAATATTTGGGCCATCTGAGAGTCCATTATGGAGCTCATTTTATTTGTGTGGTGGATTTCTTTTCTGGTTTTTGCGTCTTGTCTGTGTCTCAAACAACCTCCTGAGGTTTTGAGTGATCAAATTACTGGCTATCATTTGACTGGCATTTTTGGCACAACATTTCTGCTTACCCTGCTGAAAGCCTCATGTATCTCCATCATAATTGAATCTGCCTTTTACTGTTCTCTGCCTCAAGTGTATCCAGGTCTGTACTCTGTACTTTCGTTTCCCATGTCAGGTGGTTCTGGCTTCCGTCCTGCTGTGATCTTTTAATCACACCCTCCATCTCTTAATCCATTAAGGTCTCTCATGCTGCGATACTGCCGAAGAGGGCTCACTCCTTCCTGCTCTCTTCCAGGAAGCACTCGATGCTCTCTGAAATCCATGAGATAGAATACAGGAGCTAGTTTTGTTAAAGCGCCAGTGTCACACCGATTCACAGTGGGAGAGGAAATTGTCTTATTAAAGGTGCCATGTTCTACAATAGTGGTTTGTTGTTTTCCTTTGAAGTGCACTGATAATGTTGGACAAGATTCCAGCAGGAAAACTGGTTTTGTATTCTTTCTCCCTGGGAAAAAAAAACAGCTTATTTTGGCTACTGTACCTTTAATACACCTCTATGTAAATATGATTATCTAACCTATTTGCATTTGGCAAATCAATTAAACAGCTAATCCATGAAACGTTTGCTCTAACAGTAAACTAGTATCCATTAAAATACAAATACTCCAAAGCAACCATGCATGCAATTAATTGAATTATTCTTTGTATAAATATATTGTTTTTATTAAATCGTTTTTTAGAATAATATATGGACCAATGGCTTGCTTTATATATTAATGTTGTAGTATTAATAAATAATAGTAATATTATTTAATAATTTTAATTACATTTTTTGTAACTTAAATCTGCTATTTAAATCGTAACCTTCATAATATGAAATAAAGATAAATTGAAGAAATATTAATAGATTGATCAGGTATCAGTGCAGCAGTTTCGTATGTCAGGGCAGCTGAATTTGCTGTATTCTGAATATTTATGTAAATGTGGCTGGTCATAATGGACGTCATAGTCAGTGATATTTGAACAACTCGGTCTTTATAAGGAGTGTTCCTAGTATTGTGAAAGCAAGGGAAACCCAGTTTTCCATGTTGCATCACCTTTAAAATGATGACAGACTGATTGTTTACTTATTTTGTGACAATTTAAAATCGGATGTGCTGAATGAAAAAAAAGCTGCTCTTAGTGAGGTCATACACAAGAATATGTTGCATACACTAGGTAAATGAAGTAAGCATCAATAGATAGTAGAAAATGCCCTATTTATCCAATCTCAGTATTGGAGTAAAATCACCCTATTATTTTTAAAGGGTGCATTAGTACCTGTGTGTGACTATTCCTAAAAGTTTTGTTTGCGCGAGAAAAGAAAAAATGTACTTTTAGGGCTTTCGTTTTGTATGTTTGTGTGGAAGAGACACACAAGCCACACAAAACTGCCTGCAATCTGCTGTTTTTGTCACCATATTCCTATTTGGTCTCAATTTTTTTTCTTTCTTTCTCTGTTGCAGGACAGCACAGAATGTAATAGATTCTGCATCTAATTGGATTACCTCCCCAGCCATCTTTCCCTCCCCGTCCTCTTTCATAAAGAGAGGGGAGAGGTAGATGGCAGAGGGCAGCGAGTGTATTCTGTTGAGAGCTCTATTAATAGTACATCCCTTATACACTTGCTTGTTTATGTGTGTGCGCTAGAGAGAGTGTAAGGTGTGTTGCTGTGGTGACGTGCTGCTGACATGTGCGCCTTGTGTGTTTTTTTGAACAGAAAAAAGCAGAGGAGGCTCACCGCATCCTGGAGGGACTCGGACCCCGAGTAGAGCTGGTGAGTCCACGTTTATCTCCTTTTTTTCACATATCGTCCTTCTTTTTCCCCCCAGCAATCTTCTCTATTAAAAATAACTTAAGGTGTCAGCTGATCCCAATATTTTAGTTTATAGCAGTATCTGCTCAGCTCATGTACTTGCACAGTGTACTTTTCAAAGATTGGTCATGTCACATTAGCCAGTTATGTGACGTCAGAGTTGACATATAGGGTCTTCAGTTTGTCGTCATGTTCTATGACAACATACATCAAAACCATCGCAATATTTTAATGTTGAACAGGTTTTTCTAAAATGAATGATTTGATTTCTTAAATTATATAAAAATATATATATATATATTTTTTACATTTGTGTCACATTTGAGGTGGATGAAAACCTACTGCTGTAACATGACCTCCACAGTGTTAATTGAAATATGAACTCCTTCACCCTGCGAGTCTGTGACACTACATACACTGCTGCCTATTTGTTATCAACATTGCTGTTGACCTCGTGCAGAAGCGTTTAGCACATCCATTACATTAGAAACCAAACAGGAAGTGACCTCCAATGTCTTGGTAATCAAGACGATAGAGCAGTCTTTCTAGTGCCGCCCATTTGATCAAATGCTCTGGACTTCCGTGACTTACTGCCACACATCCATTTTCCTTCACATCCAAAACCCTTCACTTGACCTCTCAAACGAGTGCATGATGAAGATGATAGCAGAAGGTTTTAGATGTGGTGTTGGAGAGGACAGTCTTCTTTGTGTTTCTGGGCTTGGCTAAAAAAATGGGACATTAGAAAAAGAAAAGTTCTCCCAGAGCTGGGTTGCCTTGATGTGACCGCGGTGTTTGTGTGTGTGAAACTGAACTCTACCGCTTTCATGTGTCTCCCCTACAGCCTTTGTACAACCAGCCGTCTGATACCAAACAGTACCATGAGAACATCAAGATGTGAGTATGCCTCTCTCTGTCTCCCTCTCTTTCCTTAAAAAAACTCAAACGACTGTGTCCATCTGAAATTTGAAGCTTAACCAATTACAGTCATGCTTCTTTTCCATCTCAATTACTGTAGTTTATAATTATTGAGGGATGAAACTGAGAACTAGCATTGTAGGCACAGAGGCATAGAGCCCAATTAATATTCTAATATTGAATTTCCTTATATGTTCGTTCGTTCGTTTAGTCCTTCATTTACAGAATTTATTTGTTCTTCATAATTTTGCCTATGAGCCCTGTGCATCATTTAGGGGTTTTGAACTGTTCTCTTAGTTGCATATTATCACTTGTTTGTCCCCTACTTCCAATTTTCTGTAATCCTTCAATGATGTTTTGGCTTATTTGGCCTCATAATATTCAGACCGGAAAATGTGTGCGTGAGAAAGAGAGAGAATATATTTCAAATTTTCATTTTAAGATTTTGTACTCAGGAGTTCTTTATTGACCTGAGCAGCACCAGTGAGAAATATTTGTGTAAGAGGTAATGTGTGTGTAGATCATGGGCGTTGAGCTGTCTCGTACAGCAGCAAACAGTGCCACCTCTGCAGCTACACAATTAATCTCACTCGCACCCATACATGTATTAACCAACCATTTAAAGAGACCTAAGTGCACCCGTCGTACATGTCAAATGCACAGTCTGAGCGATATCTGAAACCAGGTGCACACACACACACCTTCATGTTGGAATCAATCATTAATGCAAGATGAGAGTAGATTAATGTCGTGTGAGAGGCTGGCGGCCAGGAAGTAATCGTTATGGAGTGAGAGAATTAAGGCTGACTACTAATCTGACCTGCATTGCTCGTTAATTTACTGACTGTCTGCCATTGAAGTCATATCTATGGCCATAGAGCTGGGCCAGTATGCAAAATGTTTATGATTAGGGTTCCTTTCTATCACATAAAGCTCACTAAAATGTGAACTTGGGCTTGACATTCTCTTGTTTTGTGCATGCAAATATTATATTGACAAGTTTAATGTTTTAACTTTCCCCTTTACAGAAATCAGGCAATGAGGAAGAAGCTCATTCTGTATTTCAAAAGAAGAAATCATGCTCGGAAGCAGTGGGTAAGTGATAGCATTCAAACACAAATACACAACAGGATAGCATTGTTGGAGCTCCCTGAATCTGAATATTAGGCAACCAGCATATAGGTATCCATAGAGGTGGTTGAAGTGATCATGTCATTGAAGTTATTGAATGATGGGGTGGTTAAAATGACATTGGAACTGTTGGCTGTCAGGAATCAGTTTTATTTAAATGTTTCCTGTCTTGATGACTCTACTGCAGTGTGCTGTGCCTAGATTTTGATTTTCATCTGACTGGTGTGTTCAGGAACAGAAATTCTGTCAGCGCTACGACCAGCTAATGGAGGCCTGGGAGAAGAAAGTCGAGCGCATTGAGAATAACCCACGCCGCAGAGCCAAAGAGAGCAAAGTGCGGGAGTACTATGAAAAGCAGTTTCCTGAGATCCGCAAACAGAGAGAGATGCAGGAACGCATGCAGAAGTGAGTGGAGACTTTTGCGTGGTCATCATGTGTGGTTTCATAAGCTCAGGCTGATGTGTTAATGTGTGTATTTGTGCGTTTTTCTACAGTAGAGTGGCTCAGCGAGGTGGAGGTCTGGCCTCAGGGGCCCGCAGCGAACATGAGGTTTCTGAGATCATCGATGGCATTTCAGAGCAAGAGGTAGGAGTGCAACTTTGATAATCACATAGTGTTTCCTGCACTGCTTTTCGGTGTCAAATCTACAGCACCACAGCTGAAGATTACACTTTACCATAGTTGTTAGCTTTCAGTCTGAATTTATGAGATGAAAAAAAAAAAAATCTATTGAAATATGAATCAATAAATCAAATCTTGTACCATTCAAAAGTTTCGAATGGTAATTAAAAAAAAAAACAATACGTTTTATTTACCAAATACACATTTAGTTGATCAAAAGTGACAGTAAAGACATTTAAAATGTTAGAAAAGATTTCTATTTCAAATAAATGCTGTTCTTTTGAAATTTCAGGAATCCTCAGCCTTGGTGAGCATAAGAGACTTCTTTCAAAAACATTAAAAAAATCTTACCAACCCCAAACTTTTGAACGGTAGTGTATGTATGTTTCTTAAACAGTATTGTATACACTCAGGGGCTGCAAACGATTCTATAGGAAATGCTGTTACACACAACAGATAAGCATACTCTTGAAAATAAAATGTATGTGTGCCTGTCTGGAAAGTACACGCATATCAAAGTGACTTTAAAACTCAAGGTCTCTTGCACAACAAGGAGGGTTTTGTGGCTGATCTACTTCCTAAACTCAGACACAGATTCAGTGTCCACATAGTTGCTTGTTTCTGACTTAGCTTGTGAAAATGACTGTTTCTTTTCACGTATTTATATTTCCTTTGCCTTTTTTCTCTTTCTGCAGAATTCAGAGAAGCAGATGCGTCAGTTAGCCGTCATTCCTCCCATGTTGTTTGATGCCGAACAGCAGAGGATAAAGTTCATCAACATGAACGGGCTGATGGACGATCCCATGAAGGTCTACAAAGATAGACAGGTCATGAACATGTGGAGCGAACAGGAGAAGGACACTTTTCGTGAGAAGTACGTTCTGCGCTTATTGTGTGGATGTGCATGTTGATTTTGCATGAATGAATGAGGAGTTGTAAAATCTGATGTATCTGCATGTAGGACCGGCAAGAGCTTTCAAGCGCTCAGCAGTTTTTGTGCATGTGGTTGTATTTGTTATAGGTGCTGTGCTAGGAAAAAAAAATGAACAATTGAAATCTGTGCTGATGCTGAAGTAAGCACGGCTATTTGTGCAGACTTCTCCAGTCATCTACAGGCCAACTGAAAATATCATGCAACTGAAATAAACATGCAATAACAGTAGCCCATATGAATAGTGTGGTTAGTCGACCTGGCAAATTCGCATGACAAACTTGAAACACTTTCGAAATCTGTGTGGGGAAATCTTGTATTCTTATTGGAAATTTGCTGAACAATGGTAAATGTGACCAACAAACAAAACAAAAAAAAACATATACACCACTTACAGTTCAAGTTTGACTTGACATTGTAGCGATGTGGTGATATGGACATTTTTCCAGATAGATTTTCCTTTTCATTACATCACTACCACTCTGCACCGAATTTGATTTTAATGTGGCAGCGGAGGGGCTCTGTAAAGCACTGGGTCATGATGCAGAGGTCAGCAGCAGAAGGAAGTGAGAGAGATCTAGTCTAGTTGTTAAGCATGACTTACTGAGTGGATGAGGAACCTTACCAGTCTTTAAAATAATGAAATGGTTAAGTATAGCATTTAAAAGTTGTGTTTGATCTGTATCACAACTCTTCCTCTCCCTCATTGCAGGTTTATCCAGCACCCAAAAAACTTTGGCCTAATAGCCTCCTTTCTGGAGAGAAAGGTACACCTGCATCTTTATTAATACCATCCTCTTCATCTCATTGTTTGCACTGGAGGCTGTGTGCACTGCATAAATACGAACTGAGACTATGAGCAGAACGAGTAAGGTTTGAAGTGTTGTGCGTCTCTGCTCACAGACGGTGGCTGAGTGTGTCCTGTTCTACTATCTGACTAAGAAGAATGAGAACTACAAGAACATTGTTCGCAGGAACTACCGTCGCCGAGGCAGGAGCCAGGTAAGCTTGAGACTCTATCTCCCATCCTGCACTTTGACACTTTAATGCTGTGTTTCATTCAAAGTTGTTTAAAGAAGCAAACCACCAATGGTAGTATTTGTTTTTGAGGTTGACTATGAACAGAGAAGATAATTATTTTATACATGGTTTATTATTGTGTGCTGTTGCAACTTTGAAACAATGTTTTTTAGCTTAAAGCACCGCTATTTTGCATGACGTCATATACTAGCATCTTTACTAAATCAATTGTACACTTCTGCTGGTTTGTGTGTTCAAATTAAAGGTCCCACATCAAGTGGTGTCCCATTGCCAAGTAGAAAGCTGGAATTACGACTTTATGAATTGAATAGAATGCAGAATAAGCACTGAAAACTCAAGGCTATATTAAATAGTATAAGCATTGTTTATTTGCTTGTGGTTCTGTCCACTCTTTTACTGCATTTACGTCATGATTAGAGGTTGACTGATAGTGGATTTTACCGATACCGATAACTAGGTTTTACCGTGAGTGCCGATAACCGATTAATCAACCGATATTTTTAAAATGTATACTATATCAAAAACTACGGAGGCGTATTGCATTCACTTGAAGAAAAAAAAAAAATCTACTCTGTTTTTCTGAATTAATGAGTTAATTTTTCATGAGAATTTTTTTGCTCTGTTTTTCTGAATTAATGAGTTAATTTTTCATGATAAAAATTTTTTTACTCTTTTTTTCTGAATTAATGAGTTAATTTTTTTAATTAACGTTAATTCAGAAAAACAGAGCAAAAACTTTTTTTCTCACGAAAAATTAACTCATTAATTCAGAAAAACAGCAAAAAAAATTTCTCATGAAAAATTAACTCATTAATTCAGAAAAACAGAGCAAAAACTTTGTTTCTCATGAAAAATTAACTCATTAATTCAGAAAAACAGAGCAAAAAAATTTTTTCTCATGAAAAATTAACTCATTAATTCAGAAAAACAGAGTAGATTTTTTTCCTTCAATTGAATGCAATACGCCTCCGTAAAAAAACCAACATAACACTCCAAGTAAAACAGTGCTAAAATGTACTAAATTAAATAAATATATAAAAATTAATATATTAAAATGAGAAGTTGTACAGAACAAATTCTACAGAACAATTTAAACTTTAATATTAAATATTAAACTTTAATTTAATTTTTAAAATATTACAGGTTTCTTTAGCTTTAACCTAGAAACATATGTTTTCTAAAGAGTATGCTATGCAAAAAGATGGACATTTTTAAATATTTGCAAAGGCCAGAACATTAAAATGGCATAAATGTAGACCTATATTACATGCAAAAGTTTGCGTTTTTTGTGTCACATTGCTTTAACCGCTTGAGCTACTTATGTTAGAGTCCCCACAGCCTTGACGCCAAACATACTTCTGTTCTTTCTCTGCTAATGCAGCATATAGTCGAAAATTAATTACTTTATAATAATATTGCAACATGGACTGTAGTGTTCTGTATTCATACCATTTCCCTGTCTGTGTTTTAAATGCTCATCTGAAGTGTCAGTGCTCTCAGTGCAGTGTGTTCTCTCTGTGCTGCATGCTGCCTCACGTGTTACAATAAACAACACGAGTCGCCAGTGGTAATTTTTGTTTGCCCGCTAGAGGCCGCTCTCGTTCTGTGTAATGCCAGCAGTCTCTTCTCAGCTCTCTTGTACTGTGTAATGACAGCCAGCACACTCTTCTCAGTCGCTCCAGCAACGGACGCAACTCGGAAAAACTATCGGTGTGGATTTTTACCGATAACAATAGTTCCACCAATCAACTATATCGGTACTGATATATCGGCAAAACTGATGAATCGGTCAACCTCTAGTCATGATTATAGTGTTTATAGTGGCAGTGTGAATTTGGCTTGTCTTTTTAATGAGTTTGTGTTATTAAAAATGAATCAGCATGATTCTAATGAGCATCACAGGCACACACCTCAAAGTGAGCTCAAACCATATAAAGTAATTATCCAGCTCTCTGCTCTGTTGGAGTCCGCCGTGATTCTCTCCTGATCTAAAACACACTCATTAATTTCTGTACGTGTGTGTGTGAGAGATCACGCACACAAAGAGTCACGGTACTGTTGCGTCGTGAATGTATGAATGTTTGTGTTTTGGTTTAGAGAGAGAGAGAGAGAGAGAGAGAGAGCAGAAGATGAAATTGTTAGAAGGAGAGCTCTCCCTGTGTGTGTGTGTGTGTGTGTGTTGCCTGCAATAATAACAGGCTCAATAAAAGCTGATAGAATAATGAGCCCACAGACAAACACATTTGTTTTACTGGTCTTCTGCTGCCGGAGCAGTTCTGCTCAGGTCATTAAATATTGCCTGATCTTAATGGGCTCGCATTAAAATGCTCTCAGCCAGTGCCACAAACACAGAAAGCGAGGGATATAGTGGGATGAGCCTGATGAGTGAGAGAAAGCATGAACAAAAGGGAGACAGGAAAACAGAAAGCAAGTTACAGTATGGTTGAGTGCATCTGTATATGTGTGTTTAACTGTGCATGAATAACTGCGTGTGTGTGCATGCAGCACTGTAATGAGGGATTTGGGCAACTGACGTGACATCTAATTGTACTGAAAAAGCCCATTGAGTTGTATCTCTTATATTGCTCAAAATAATCTATTCAGATTAAAAGTAAAATGTGAAAACTATAACATAGGGTGGCAATACTCATCATGTGAAATACAGAAATGGATCGACTTTTCAGAAGTTTGGTGTCAATATTTAAAAAAAAGAATTATATGTAGTATTATTAAGAATGTATTAAGAATCTATTTAAGAACAATTGTAATAATGAAATAATTAAATGCATATTAAAAACATAAGCTTGTCTAGATACAAAATAGTCACCAATTATTGAGTCTTGCCATTTTATCTCCTTTTAGACTTGGACAAGTATTAAACTTGAACTCCATCTAAACCTACTCAAAACTGTTTTTCAATCTTGTGTTTTTATTGTGCATGCAGTTGACTTCATTATTATTTGACTTTATTATATTTACTTGGAAAAACTGAATTTGCCACAGGACCATTGAAAGTAAGTAATGAAATATTCAAAAACTGGCAAAAACCCCCCCCAAAAAACACAGAAATTTCCCTTATGAAAAATCATACTTGTTATAACAAAATCATGTTGGGAAAAACGTAGTTGTCAGCTTCCTGTGTTTGTGCGTACGGTTATTTAAAGGGATTCCTGCAATCTTTCACTCATTGATCTCTCTGTCCTCGGTCCCCTCAGATTCTGACTCTGTCCCCTCCCCCTTCATCCCCCTGTCATCCATTTTTCCCCTTCGCACTTGCAATAGTGGAGTATATTATTTCTTGACAAAAATAGATGGTTTATGGGGCCTCATAACTCAAAATGGAATTCTTCTGTGAAGGAATACCCAGATACATATAAGTGAGACCTGGGTGATGGGAACACCACTTCCTCTGGGTGTTTTCCTCACTGTGCTTATAAAGAACATCCTGGTTCTTGAGTGCTTTTTGGGCATCGTAGATAAAATTGAGCTTGAATGGACATATTCAGGATGTTATGTTCATTAATGCCTTCAAATAGGAGATAGATGTTTTTTGAGAGGAAGCAATGTTTTTTATGTCTTTTTTTGATTGGCTGTGCTTACAGAATAACCAACAGACCCAGCAACAGGTGAACCGCAACAACCAGGAGGAGAAAGAAGAAAAAGAAAAGGAGAAAGAGAAAGAGAAGGAAAAGGAGGGAGAACGCGAGGAGGAAAAAGCAGAAGGAGAGGAAAAAGAGGATGGCATGAAGTGAGTATTTTTCTCTCTTTTACTGGTTTTCTTTTCCTCTCATCTCACATCAGTCTGTCAGCTGTTTTTTTTTTTTTTCTCTTTGCGTTTTCTCTCATCGAATCCTCTGAAACCTGTGGCCTTACAGCTTGTTTTTCTCTGTGATTCAGCTTAAACAGAGAAGGCACAGTTACATAACCGGCAGGTGGAAAAAGCATTCTGCTGACTTGCCACTCAACGCTGGTGCTAAAGTCCTCTGATTCAGAGCTCTTTTGAGGCGTTTGCGTGTCACAGTCTCTAGGTTAGAACTGTAGTCTTGATACAGAAATTTCAATAGTCAATACCAGTGAAAGTTTTCAAGTAATCAAGTAAACTGTCAGAAATAATAATAAATATATATTGTGTATATACGTATAATATATATGTATTAAGATCTATTTAAATTGAATATGTTTTAGAGTAATAAATAATAAAAAGACCAGTGACACAGAATAGCTATGTACAGATGCAGATTCTGTATCATTTCAGCCTAATTTTATAAGCTGTTTCTGAATGCTAGTTCATTCACAGGTGCACACGCTATATTAAAATACACCAGGGAAGTACAGGTAACAGTGTATTATTCTAAACTAAACCTGTGCAGTCAGCAGTGCTGTAGGATGTGATTAGAGCACATTAGCACTGGCCCGAATACACAGCCCTCAGTATGCACCACAGGACGCCAGCTATACTTTAAAGCAGTACATTAAGCAGAGTCTGTGCCTTTCTCTGACTCTCCCCACCACATGATTCTCAACCTGTGGGCACAGCTGCTGCTCCTATATTTAGTACTGTATCTGCAAGATGGATAATGTGCAGGACAGGTAAGATAAATGAGGGTCTGCTCATCCTACAGCCACTTCCTGAAGGTGGGATGAACTTGCTAGAGAGACAACATTTGCATAGTGTGTTCATATGTGTGCATATATGTGTCATTTTTCTGTTGGGGGTGCTCAGAATTTCAACTGCAAATGATTTATTATTTATTAATTCAGAATTGTTGGCCTTTTATTATGGCTTTATTAGATATGAAAGCATTGAGATTAGAAAGGAAAGCATGGGATACAGAGAGAGAAGGATGGGATCGGCAAAGGTCCTCGAGCCGGGAATCAGTCTCCAGAGGTGAAGTTGCACTATATGTCGGCTGCGACTCAGCGAGTTTTCAGCGAGAATGATTCTGATTTTATTACATTTAGTGTAAATGGAGATGGTCAAGCCAGTTGAGGCTCACACAGTCTGTTTGTTTGTGAGAGATCTTGTGGAGAAATCAAAACAAGTGAGCTCAACCCGTACAGACTCAAGGCGGTGAATGCCAAATGAAATCAACTTCACCAGGGATAAACTGTAACATTGAACGTGACCAAATTATAATCAAGGCTAAACCCCGAAACCCAGTTTTAAAAAAACATAAGATAACAAAAATTTTTCAGACATTAAGTCAGGCTAAAATGATCTGGGATCCATGCTGTAAACCTAAAGGGCTACTTGGTGGACACCTAAATATCAGAAGCATGATCCCTAAACGTGAACAGTTAGAGCATCTATTAATTCAATCAAATGTTTCCTTTTTGGGATTAACAGAAACGTGGTTAATTTCTTCCTCACCTGAGGCAGCAATAACAATACCTGGTTACAATGTTTTTAGAAAGGATAGAGGTCAGGGGAGGGGAGGGGGGGTTGTATTATATGTTAAGGATACCCTTACATGCAGTAAGATTGAATGGTCTGATGACATCAACCTTGAGTGTGTGGGAGTAGACATTATACTTTCTGCAGAAATGACATTTACAGTTATATGTATGTATCGTAAACCATCAGCTAAAATAGATTTTTATAGTAATCTTAAAACCCTGATTAATCTTACGAATGTGAAAAAATAACTAATCTTAATAGGTGATTTTAATATTAACTGGGATATCAAGAAAGAAAGAAAAAAACTCAAACAGATAACTGATTATTTCAATTTAGAACAATTAATTAAAACGCCAACTCGAGTAACTAATCATTCCAAAACAAGAATTGATCTAATTTTTACAAACAGACCTGAAAGAATCGCTAAAACCTACAACTTTTTAACTGGTCTGTCTGATCATAATGGGATTTTCTTCTCACGAAAATTAATCAAAGCAAGATCTCGTAGTTCCAGTAGTCTAAATAATTCCTTATATCATGACATTATTCCCAAAAGTCAGCATTCAAATCTGGACGTAGCCCTAAACGAGCAGGACTGGGCTGCTATTGTCTCATCTGAAAATGTTATAGATAATAGTGCCATGTTCCATAATAAGATCAAAATGGTTATGGCATTATTTATAAGAAAGGTGAGGCACAGAAAATCTAATGATAATGATATACCATGGCTTAATAATGATTGTAGGTTGCGAATGAAGGAAAGAGATCAGTTACTTAAAAGGGCAAATAAAACTGGCCTCACCTCAGATAGACAACTATTTACATCAGCTAGAAATAAAGTTACATACATACAATGCGGAAGGCCAAAATGAATTTTTTTATGAATATTATTGATAGTGCAAAAGGGAATGGGAAAAAAATCTGGCAAAGTATTAATAAACTAACTGGTAAACATGATAAACAAGACAATATAATTGAACTTAAAATTAATAATGTATTAGTGAAAGATCCACTCATCCTAGCATCTGAGTTAAATTTGTTTTTTAAGAACTCTGTTCAGGAAATATCTCAATTATTTATCCCATCTGAAAATGTGTCTTCTCCTATCGACTATGCACAGCCTATATTTAGGATAGGAGAAATTACAGAACCAGATGTGGCTTCTATCATTGATGAACTAAACAGTTCCAAAGCTAAGGATGAGTTTGGATTGGACACAAATTTCATTAAACTGCACAGAGAGTCCCTAGTATGTCCTATTACACATATGATAAATCTTTCCATTAAACATTCTGTTGTTCCACCAGAGTGGAAGATGGCCACAATTACACCAATCTTCAAATCTGGTAGCAGAACAGACATCAATAATTATAGACCAATCAGTATTTTGCCTGTCATATCCAAAATTATTGAAAAATGGATTGTAAAACAATTAGTAAAGCATCTAAACACCTGTGGCTCTCCTTTGCATCCCATGCAATTTGGCTTCCGTGCCCATCATTCTACCGAAACAGCTGTAACTGTATTTATCGAAAAGGTCAAACATTCATTAGATACCCATCCTGTTGTTGGTGCTGTCTTCTTGGACCTGAAAAGGGCATTTGATACCGTCAATCATCAAATGCTCTTATCTAGATTGACAAACTTCAATTTTTCCAAACAAGCCATCAGCTGGATGAATTCCTACTTAACCAACAGAACGCACTGTGTTTCTGTTAACAATATTAAATCTCCTCACCTTGAGTGTACAGTAGGAGTTCCTCAAGGCTCTGTACTTGCACCAATTCTATTTTCCCTATACATTAACGACCTCCCTACAGTATGCCAAAACACAAATATTTTAATGTATGCAGACGATGCAGTACTCTTTACACATGCAAAAACTGCCCAAGACGCCTCTCAGGCGCTTACATCGGCACTGACTTGTGTACAGGAATGGCTTACAAAATCATGTCTACTATTAAATCCCAAAAAAACTGTTTGTTTAATGTTTTCTAAGCGGCAGACTGATATGACGTTCAAATATATTTTTAAAACAAGAAGAAATACAGCTAGTAAATGAATTTAAGTATCTTGGCGTTGTTTTAGATCCCACACTATCTTTTAAAAATCATGTAAAGTGTCTATCGAAAAGTGTTAAATTTAATCTTGCAAACTTCAAATACATCAGACCATCACTATCTTGTAAAGCAGCCAGAATGTTTCTTCATTCTATGATTTTCTCGCACATTGAATATTGTTTTGTAAATTGGTCACTCACAAATGCCACAACGCTTAAACCAATTGAGTCACTTTTCAAAAGAGCCTTAAAAATATTTGACAGGAAACCGTTTTCACATCACCACTGCTTAATATTACAGAAATATAACCTACTAAGTTTTGAAAATTTTCTAAAGCTTAAATATGCCTGTGCTGTTTATAAGATCCTGCACGGTCTTGCCCCACCCCCACTGAGTGAATATATTACACTAAAAAAACAGGGAGAGGGAAGAAGTGTCACCAGAGCTTCCATCAGGGGTGATTGTGTGGTACCGTACAGGCGTACTACATTTGGACAATATGTTCTGTCAATAAAGGGGTCAGAGATTTGGAACAAATTACCACTTGTCATTAGAGAATGTCCGACATTTCCCAGATTTAAGAATCAACTTCAACAATGGCTCAAGACACATCAAAATTGTGACCATTAAACAACTTTCCTTTCTTTCTGTTTTTCTTTTTTTTTTTTTCTTTCTTCTTTACAATCGAGGTATATGAATAAAGAACACTGTAGTATCGTGTAAGCGTTTGTATGTATAATAAACCCAATTTAGTATTTATTGTAATTCCAGCATGTATACATAGAATAGCACTTTACTGTATATGTGTAATTTGTCTGAAAACAGTGGTGTCTTTTGTAATTGTTACTGAATTTTAAGGTGTTCTTCAAACTGTGTAGTATTCAATTTAAACTTAAATGTTAGTTTTGTTATATGTTGTTTTGTGATGACCTGACAGGGGACTGCAGATGGAAAGTAGCCCTGGGGCTAATTCTGGCATATTTACATTACTGAAATGTTTATCAATATGCATTGTCCCTTTTAAATAAATAAATAAATAAATAAAACAGCAAACGCAAGGAAACTCACAGTAGCTCATAGAAACATACTAAACCATTTTTATATGTATAACATAATTAGGGGTGCACGATATATCGGCCACATTATCGGTATCGGCCGATATATGATCATTTTTAATGTTATTGTTATCGGCCCAACAAGAACATTTAGCCGATATCTAAAAGCAGATAAATAATGTCCTTCAGCTGAGGACAGTGCACTTTAGATGTGCACTGTTCAACATGATGCTTTTAAATTGCTTGAAATATGATTGAAATCACTTTAAAAAAGGAAAATCCAGTTAAATTGCAAAATGTGCAGCGCAAGTCTGTCATATCGGCTACACAACATTAAAATAAGAACATCATAATTTTGTTTGCATCTTGGCTTTTAATGAGGAAAATCAAAAATTGCCTAAAAATTTGGATTTAGATTTATCAGCCAAAATATCGGTTATTGGCTTTCAAATATAAAGAATTATCGGTTATCGGTATCGGCCAAAATTGTCATATCGGTGCATCTCTAAACATAATATAGTATAGCAACTTCACACTACCAAGAGTGCTGTTTTCCAGAATATATGCACGATTGCAAATACAATTTATTTGATACATTTTAATTAACCAGTGGTTATTATTGAGTAACTTACATTTTAGACACCATTGACTATTTTTGCTCTAATTTGCAAATGAAAATGGTTCCAATCAAAGCCACAGCAGAACTGTTGTGCGTGTCTGAGCAACACACAGCAGTGCTGCGTTACGGTTTTTGTGCTGCTACAGTTTTGTTTTGTTTTTTTTCTTGAATGAATCGGTGACGCATATTTAAATGGAATTCAAGAAGCAGATTATGAAATGAACAATGTAATCAGTGCATCAGCAAAATGTAGGATGTGACTTTGATAATGATTTTTTTTTTCTGTTCTTGCAGAGATGACACCTCTGGTGAGGACGGGGAGGAGAAAGAGCCTCCTGTAGCCGTTAAAGGCCGTCGCACCGCAAACAGCCGCGGACACCGGAAAGGACGAGTCACCCGCTCTATGACCAACGAGCAGGAAGAGAACACTTCACCTCTCAGCAGTGAACTAGGTTCGCAAACACACTCACATACCATTGACTTTTTAAGTGGGCCTCTGAGGTCACTTATTGAAATGAGTTCTTTGTTTTGTTCTCTGCAAATTAACCGTGCACAACCTTTTATCATACAACATTGTCACATTTTAGTTTTATAACATCACTTTTCTATTTTCCCCAAAATGTGAGGGCATTTTAACAGAACTGTAATGATCCTAATAATGAAATACTGTATAAATACTTCGATTTTTGAGTACAAAGTATCTGTCCCCTCACTTTTTTGGAGATGAGTGGCTCATCTTGCTTAGCTAAGACTGTTCTTGAACTTTCGCTGATTGTTTCAGTTAAAAATATTAAAAAGGTGCCCTATACTTCAGCATGAGGGTCTAAACACGGCCTCTGCCAGCTCTTGGCCTTTACTAATTTACATCACAAGAGCTTGAGTCATTTCAATAGGTCGCTTCACCTTGAGTTTCTGCCTTTGACTGTTTATGCTTTTTAGGTCATTTTTCAGTAATTTTAAGTAAGGATATGAATTCTTTATTTTATTTTATTTATTTTTATTTTCAGATTTGTTAAATGCTGATTGAAATGTATTATTGAAACAAACTGTTTTTTTTTTTTTTTTTAATCTCTACTCATTAAAATAGATGGTAGCTGCAGTTAGAAATTTCAAAACAGAAAATAGCTGCTCAGGTTGTTAACAAGATGGTTGCTGACTTGTCTTATAAAGACTTTCTTCTTTGTATTTTAGCTAACCTGGAGATGAACGAAAGCTCTCGCTGGACTGAAGAGGAGATGGAGACGGCAAAGAAAGGTCAGTACTTATTTTGTGTGTTTGTGTATTTTGTCACTACTGTGTTTATTGAATAGACAACATTCCCACTGGATGGATCCATTTGTGCACATACAATTAAGTTAGAAAAGGTCATAATGGGCTTTCTGTTTGTCTTCATAGGATGTTGACGGTTAGGATTTCCCTGTGTCGAATTAACTAGATGTAACTCTGCCTGATAAGACATGTTACACTCAGCCTAGCAACTCCACAAACATTTACATGAGCATTAAATCACACTCTGTGCCCTTGGCCTCATTTCACACACATCCACTCAGTGATACACATATTAATGTGTCTAAATGTGGGCACTGTGTCTTTACATGACAGCTGGTTGTTCAGATCTGCTGCTTTCAAAAATCAATGTCATTTACTCGTGGTTTAACAAACAGAGCTTCGTTACTGGACCTTGAAACGCCTTCATGAGGGATTTTATTTGAGGGAAAAGGAAAGAAAGCTTGAGTAAAGAGCAAAGGTCTAATCTTCTCTCTTGTTCGTGTTTGGACTGTAATGTAGACTGTTAGTGTGTTAAACGGCCGCTCCGCTGACCTACTTCAGATGAGCTACTTCCACGTCACTCTGTTAACAGCTCTGTGTTTCTCTGGCACCGGCACATATCTGATCCATCGGGCCGCCTGCCTCACACTGCTCTGGCTTACAAGATCTGTAACTTAATAACACTTCATTAATGATAAAGTCCCCTGAGCCAAATCAGATTTGCTGTTTACAATCACAAGAACTTGTCCTTGCCTTCATGCCAACAAGTATTAATTTATGTAATGTAGAATCTGATTTGCGTTTTACAGATATTCACTTTCTTTTTTGAAGAGCGCTCTTCAAAAGCTATTTTTACCCTATCTATTTAATTTAATTAATAAATAAATAAATAAATATTATTCTTACTAATTTACTCATTCATTCCTTAATTTATGGATTATGTATGTTATTATGAATTTGTTCGTTCAAATAAGTAAATTACTAATTAATTTCTTTGTTTTTAGTTATGATTTTAAATATTTAAATAAATGATTTTGGTGAGAACGCTTACTTTTTAATTTACATAATGCTTTATTTATTCATTCATGTATTTCCCCCAACTTTATTGCATTTTTTTTTTTTATAAATGGATTCAATGTGTCTCTCATTAACATAGACACAGTCATTAACATGTCTCTCATTATCACCATCAAAGCAAAGCCTATACCTCAGTCTTTCCCACCAGAGAGCTGCTGTTATTTTTAACGTCAGTGTCCCCTCTTTATCTTCTAGTCTGTTCCCAAATATCCTGCCACCCCTCATCCCTTGACCCTTTTAATGCCAGTCGGATACCCCGTCTGTCCTTTATAAAGCAGCTCACTGCTCTCTATGCTAATGTGTTTATCTCTATGCTTATGTGAAAGTGAGAAAGAGAGAGACAACAGTAATATATGTTAATGGCACCTGGCCGTCTCGCTACATTCCTGCACAGAGAGAGAGCAGCTCTTCTCTGTGACTAATGCACGCTGGCACGGCCTGTTAAAGGCAGGGTGGCCTCGCTTGCGTGCACGTCTCTGAGTAAATGAGGGGAAGTAAGTGTGTATGTGGCTGTGAGGGCACTTCATAGCAGGATAGCGGTATATAACCCAAAGCTACTGCACACAGCCCTCCTCATGTGTCTTTTTTTAGATGCTTTCTTTAGAGACAGTAGCTGCGGCTGATGTATATACTGTGTAGTATGGATATAAGCTCATCTTATCTGTAGCAAACAAACGTGACATTCTACTTGTGTTTTTTACTTGCATCTGCATGTAAATAAAAAGAAAATAAGTTGCTCCAGTTGTCGCTCCTGTAAATAAGTCAGTGTGATCTTTCTTTCTTTCTTTCTTTCTTTCTTTCTTTCTTTCTTTCTTTCTTTCTTTCTTTCTTTCTTTCTTTCTTCTTT